ATCATAAGCATAGGCTATGGTAGATTCGCATATACAGGGAAAATTCGCAAAATATAAGCAAGGGAACAATTAAGCCAGTTGTGAGAAAAATAAGGAAGCTACGACAAATCCATTTCGTATAATGATTACCTACATGTTGATTATAAAAGGCCTGAAATAAGTTGATTTATACATTTGAAGCTATCTTGTTTCCAAAAGCATGTTTATACAAAGAACCCCAATTCGAGGTAGGAAAGTATAAGTATGTCTGTAAAACAAAAGTTAGGCATTAACTTTCAGCCTAAATGATGAAGAATGGAACAGCAAAATTGTGTTAGTATGAAATGTTTTCTTGTAAATGACAGACCTCAGGTCAATGCGATCCTTTTGGCAACAAGAGATAAAAGTGCCGAAGAGCCCAGCGTGTGCTTGATCATGCAGCAAACAGAGAAAGTGATTATTGTATTCAAATTTAGTGGGGCACACCTCAATCAAATGATGGAGGCAATCTAGAAATTGTGTGAACGAGGGTGACACCTCACGCGGATCTCCGGAAGAGAGGAGACCACAACGCTCGATGAATTTGTGACCAAATTGAATCCAGTCCTTTTCGATCAAGGCCTGATCGCAAGCAAAAAGATTAATGAAGACGATAAGAGAGAAAATTAGGAGGCGCAAAAAGAACAATGAAAATCCCAAAAAATTATGGGGAGGTAAAGCGGGGTGAAAAAGTGACAATAATGAAGGAACAGAGGAGCTTTTGACAAAATTAACTTGTAGAGTGTTTGTAAATTTTTGTTTAGGAATTTTATTTTATCAATATGACAATTAAATAAGTATACCAATGCAGCAAAATAAAAACAAAAAAGCAGCAGAATCTGTAGGGGTACTATTAAGTAGTGGTATAGAATTTGGGTGTCAAAAACATAAACTGTAGGTGATATTACAGTCAAAGGCATCTGACGTAAGAAGTGAAACGTTTACTAGACTCTCCGGAAAAAGTGGTAGCCTCAGATAAATAATTAGGGA